GTCCGATAAGTGCTGCACTGGTGATATCACAGGACAGTGCAGCGCTTCCGATGACAGTAAGCATATAGTTATAGGCATTGTAGGATAACGGTCATAAAAACGACAGAAAAAAAAAGTTTTTAATAACATGAATTAATTACAAATAATTATAATATGAATTACAAGTACTACTAAGTTGAGCGTCAGACACAGACATGTGATTGTAGTTATACACCTGTTTCGTCTTTCTATGACTCATCGGGGATGCTAGGGGCCGAAAAGGTGAAAATCCAAATCGGTCTTAACTATATTGTATTACTGAAACCCAAGGTAACGTGCATAAAATCCCTTAAATATATGCATTTCAATGGTATCGCCTAAAAATAAACCTGAGCATCCTTTTTGTCAAAATATGTTACACAGAACCAAAATTTTCTATAAAAGACGAGTTAAACACCTGATATCTATATACCTGTAACTTAAGCAGTCAGACCATATTACAGTAGTCAAATATTATCACATGACCACACATGACAATTGTACGATAATACAGCTTTAGGACTGGTGTAATATTATTATTGTAGTCAATTATTATCAAATCACGACATGATAATTGTGCGATAATAAGGGTATTTGGACAAGTATATCGTGGTTTCTTCAGTGAAGACACAGGAACAAACCCGATTCTACAGAAAACTTCACATTAGTCGCCTATTTCGATACGGTACAGCGATACACAGCAGACCTGGCCTATTTTTTTCTGAGTGTTTCTTTCAACTTTGTTACAATTTCTCACGTTTTTCAATTAAAAGTGTTTCTATTTTTTTTTATATATATAACAAATATGATGTATTTAGAATTAAAATAATTGCCATTTTATACTTCATACTCAATAAAAAAACCTTAAAATATAAATATTATTTGTAAAATTGTCACCCAGTGTGGTGCAATGTAAGATAAGTCCATTACTTATGTAAACCTAGTGCATGAATGGCAGCTGATCTTTTACAGGTCTGTTGAGGCTCAAAGATAGATAATCTGTAAAGATCAAGCAGACACGGAGCTTATTCACCTGTGTCTTTGTACACCTGTGTAAGGTCAGTGAACCGAGTCAAGGTAAAGAGTCCGACAGGTACAAATTTGACAGGTGTGTTTACACGCCTAGGACCGTAAGACTTTTTAGAGTTTAGACGCTGCTTTATGTAGAGTAAGCGAAGCAGCAGTCAGCTGACCAGTTCTAGTGGTCAAGTGCATTTCGATCAAAATCACACGAGCACCATGAAATCATATCCCGACGATCGAAGGTATGTTCGGAACAATATCATAGCTAGTGTCATCGTGTGTGTAGCGTTATGTTTACTCGGATTCATGCTACTTCCCGCACCCACGCCACGACTAGAGACGGTGTCGATGAGAATTATATACTGTCTACGCTGGCAAATTTGGCCCGTCCTAACACTTACTGCAGGTAAGCTAATATAATCACATTGTAAATGTCAATGGACAACTGATAAGAGGTTATACCTGTGTGGAGGACAAGTAAGACTCTTACACTATATAACCTAACAAACTCTCATCAAGTTTGTTGAAATATTACAAATAACTCTTCAATATTACGGTGATACATTAAGGACATGCACACTATTATTTTCTACATTATTATTAATTCAGAGACGTATATTCTACATCTTTATATGTCTCTGCTTAATTATCTCCAGCGCTCGACTTATTATCTCGAACGCTTGACTTATTATGTCGAGAACATTGTGCATGTAGGAAATGTACCACCGTAGATGTACCACTGTTATCAACAGGAAGTTTCCTTCCTTCTGTTTCTCTTCATATTCATAATAGTTTGCCAAAAAAGATTTTTTTACAGCAATTTACCTAGACCCATTCCTAAACTACTTAAGGATTAACTTAAACTTGAATATATTCAAGTTAATCCTTATAATTTAATCTACTATACACAATCCCTGTGGAAATCCACTTTTATTGATGGACTCTTTTCTCTTAGAAATTATTGCGCTGCAGTATCAGCCAATCAAAAGCTACGTTACAAACGACGACGTCATTTTTTACGTTATGGGCTGATAACATAAATTGTTAAGCCAATGAAAATGCTTGTTACAAGCAAGATGAAATTACATACTGATAAGTAATATCTTTTTACTACCAGTGAAGTAAGATTCCGGCTGAGTGAGACCCCTCTCATTAGCATACCTGTGTATTTTATAGCATCCATGCAAGTATGAAAACAGTCTGGGTCCTATCATAGCGTGAAGTACCATGGAGTATTTTATAAAAGCTATTTAAGTGCGGCGTGTAACAGAGTGTCCGACCCATATTACTATAAAACCACTATTATACAGCAATATAGATATACAGTTTATAGAGTTGAAAGGTATTCTCCTATAATACAGTTATAAGTTATGGGACACGTCTCCTATAACACATTTATAAGTCGTGGGACACGTCTCCTATAATACAGTTATAAGTTAAGTGACACGTCTCCTATAATACAGTTATAAGTTATGGGACACGTCTCCTATAATACA